AAGCAAGATTAAGAAAGATTACCAAGAGGTTGGTGATCTAGGAATTGTTGCACAGAAGTCAAGATCTGGACAACCTACTATGTTTAAGCCTACAAGGTTAGATATAGTAACTGTTTTTGAAAACTTGACAAAGATTGCAAAATCTACTGGTAAAGACTCACAATCGAAAAAGATTTCAACCATTAACAAGATGTTAACTGCATGCGAAATGAAAAGCAACGAAGCAAAGTTCTTAATTAGGTCATTGGAGGGTAAATTGAGAATAGGATTAGCTGAAAAAACAGTACTTATTGGTTTAGCTCAAGCGTTTGTTAACTATGAAAACAAAAGTAATAAGAAAATCTCCCCGGAGAAATTGGCCCAAGCTGAAGACATAATTCGTGAAGCGTTTTCACGGATTCCTAATTATGAAATTATTATTAACAATGCCTACGAACATGGTATATTCAACTTATTAGATCATTGTATATTAACCCCTGGTATTCCGTTGAAACCGATGTTAGCTAAGCCAACGAAATCTGTCAGTGAAATATTAGATAGGTTTCAAGGTGAAGAATTTACTTGTGAATATAAATATGATGGTGAGAGAGCCCAAGTTCATTTATTACCAACGGGTGAGGTTAGGATTTATTCTAGAAATTCAGAAGATATGTCTCAAAGATATCCAGATTTGATTTCTATTATTAAAGATTTTCTCAAAACACAAGAGATCTCGGGTAAGCATTCGATGGTGTTAGATTGTGAAGCCGTGGCATGGGATAGGGAAACAGATAAGATTTTACCGTTCCAAGTATTATCCACTAGAAAGCGTAAAGACGTGGAAGAAAAAGATATCAAAGTTCATATTTGTCTATTCGCATTTGATCTCTTGTATTATAATGATAAACCTTTGATTACGACATCCCTAGCTGAAAGACGTAGGGTTATGTTTGAAAATTTACGACCAATTGAAGGAAAATTCCAATTTGCAACGTTTAAAAATACTACAAATTTGGATGAATTACAGCACTTTTTGGATCAATCAGTAAAGGATTCGTGTGAAGGATTGATGGTTAAAATGATGAATGGCACTGATTCATACTATGAACCATCAAAGAGATCGAGGAATTGGTTAAAATTGAAAAAAGATTACTTAGCGGGGGTTGGTGACTCATTAGATTTAGTAGTTATAGGTGCATACATTGGTAAAGGTAAAAGAACAGGCTCATATGGTGGGTTTTTATTGGCTTCCTATAATCAAGATAGTGGTGAGTATGAGACAACTTGTAAGATAGGTACAGGTTTTTCAGATGAAGATTTGGTATCCATCCATGCAAGATTAAAGCCTACGGAAATACAAAGGCCTAAGCCATACTATGTGTATGATACGACAAATTCAAACGCGGTACCAGATGTCTGGTTCGAACCAACAACAATATTCGAAGTTTTAACAGCTGATTTATCCTTAAGTCCAATTTATAAAGCTGCGCATCAACAGTATGGTAAAGGTATATCATTGAGATTTCCTAGATTTTTACGAATTAGAGATGACAAGGGTACAGAAGATGCTACTAGTTCTACTGAAGTTTCCGAATTCTACGAGCGACAAGCCAATTTAAATTGAAGAAATAAATATTGACTATATATAAATATTGACTATATATAATTCGTGTACATATAAATGAGTTAATCAAATTAGTAAATTATAGTTTAAATCAAAATTTATTGCTAATAATAAAACAAACTTTTATACATGCACTCAGTTACCTGCTGCTTTATCTCTACTTTCCCTAATTTTATACTTGATTCTGTCACTCAATTTTGATTTTGGTTGCTGGCCTTCTTTGAGATTACCAAAATTCAATTCAATGTGTGAATTTGAATCGTTTCTGGAAACACTTGGCTTGCCAGCAGGTGAATTATGGACTTTGTAGTTGAAATCGTCGGCTATCGATGCAGACAGATGAACAACAGACTGTTGTTCAATTTTTATATCTGGATTTTTAGCATTCATATGCAAATGGTAATCAGAAAACATCGGAATATTGGTTAATGAATTATCAGAATTCATTAAAGAAATGCCATCGGATACCGAAGAAGAATGTTTCTCATCTAATGATAATCCGCTAATTGAATCATCCAGAGCTTGCTTTCTTCTAGCAGCCTTACGATTTTTCATTCTTCTCTTCCTCACTTCTTGAGTCTTCCTTTCTTCTTCTTCGTCACTATCAACGTAATCCACGTTATCAGAAATTTTCAAATGGTCTTTCAACTTCAACAAGTTAAAATCGTTTGGAAACAAATCAGGGCCAAAATGATTAACTATATAAGTAATCTCTTCAGACAATTCATTCCTCAACTTCTTTAAATCCTTAATAGAAGATCCCGATGTGATTGATAAATATAAAGGACGAATAGATTTGAAGATATCCATACCTTGTTCACCGGTAAGCAACGCCGAATAAGTAACTGTTACCCCAAGCATGTATAATATGAACCAGACAAGAAACAAACTAACATTCCAGTCTTCAAAATTTTTGTATTTATGACAATACCACGTACCAATTGATGCGTAAAAGCTATAGACTAAAGGAGCGATACCCATACTTATCAAGATTTTCCAAGTAGCAACTACGTCGTTAGCTTTAATTTTCACAGTCGAATTAGCTAATGCTGCCCTTGCTTTCCTCGTGGAATACCACTTAGTACATATGAAAACAGGAGAAAACAATGTTGCCCCAGGTAAGGCCAATAACATCAATAAAAACAATTTAACAATTCTGAAGAGTAAAATAGGTAAAACCCTCAATTTATGAGACTCATCGCACGCTTCAACATGATGATCTGGCAAATACAACTGTTTCAACTGATTGTTGTAAATGATAATCTTTTCCTTTATGTTCTTGATCTGTTCTTCGTTTCTAAATGTCTGGTAACCTAAGACTAACCTTCTGTTCATTTCAACAACCAATGGTAATGGCAAAAATTGAATAAAATTACCAGCATATAATCTTCTTGCCGCTTGAACAACCATTAATGTTTCATAGTCTTCACAGGTCACCGTTACTGCTTTCAAACCAGTGGTGATAAGATCCAATAGTTCCTTAACTGACTCACGATTTGTTTCAGGGTTCAGATACTTCTTGACGAGATCCTTAGGGATGTCAATCGGATGGCCAAATTCGATGACAGCTCTTGACCTGAATTTGTGAGCATTAAAATAGTTCATACCACATGGGACGATTTTCACATTACAATCTGGATTGTACTCCATAGCACCTAGAGCCATGATTGCAACACCAGCCTTAAGAGGTAACAAGTCAGTCCTATCATGCGACCCACCCTCTGGAAAAATACCGATACAGTTGCCCAAAGACAAATGTCTAAACACAATTTGATACACTTTTTTCTGGTCGATTCTATCTGCCAGCTTGAAAGATGTACCGTTTTTAAGCAAGGTAGTGATCTGGTCAGTGCGTTTGAACTCCTTTCTGATAATTAACTCGGTGTCTGAGATAATTTCCAGGATTTCAGAAGCACCCAACGACTGAGGCAAAGCCAACATACCCCGGACTGCACACTCCAGCAAAAACATGGTGTTCTTCCCTATCACACGGCAGGGATCCAGTTCCACATCAATAAAAATTTTACCTGTAGCTTTCTTCAAGTTATCCTGTGCCCGTATTACCGGAATCGAAAATTGGCACCGAGACAAAAACCCAATAATCCGCTGTTTATACGACTTGGCAGCGATCAAAAACGACACCCTCCGTTGTGCCTCTTTTCTAACCTGTCCCATCAAGATGATCGGATCCACAAACTGGTTAGCATGAGGAGCAGCCACGAAAATCACTGGTCCCTGGCGAGGAAGCCTAAATGCCCCTCTTGGACGTATCTCCCTGAAAAAACAATCACACACCACCGAAAACATCCACAACACCAAGTCAAAGATCACCAACCTGTACCATTGCCTCTGTCTGCGTTCGAATTCGTCCATTTCTTTGTTTCTAACAAAACTGTCCCCACTGGCACTTCTTTTTCTTCCCCGGGATGCCCTGTTCTCGTTATCATCATTTATGTCCATCTTAACTTTATCACTGGCATTCGCCTGCCCATTGCTCTGCAACAATGCTTCGCCGGCCTCTTCACTACTTGTGTGTGCGTTGGTCATCGTTGTAGCGCCAATATCGTCTTCACAACCAAATAATGTCCGTCTTGGTGAGTGAAGTAGCCCTTTCCCACCTAGGGCATACTGAAAAATATATGTCAATTCTGCCATTTTTGGTCGGGTCCCTTCATCCCACAATTGGGGCAGCTGGCCCACTCCGTTCTTGTCTGTCCCCCCCCCCTCTTCTGATTCAACACGCGTATTCCAGGTTCGAACCAACGTCACCATTCAGGGCTCGATCCTCCCTCCAGACGCAGTCCGCATCCCATCCCTACACCTCTCCCCACCTCACATTCATTCGAACCCTTAGTCCGCGGCTATCACCTCCGTGTCAACCTCGGTATTTCCATTATACCTGCCCTTTTACCACAACTCCACTGCCAATGGAATTATGCCTTACCGAACCGGGGGACCTTTCCAGAGTCCCATTACATACCATAGTTCCGGAGTGAGTAGTATATGGTAATTCCAATTGACGTTACGCTAGATATATCCTCTACACGTTGTAACGTCCCAATAAATTACTTAAATGCTTTTGTATCCCACATATCCTATCATCTGAGCAGCAAGCACGTAGGTTTGCGTAAACGGCGACACTAGCCTTGTCGCATGTAGCTAATTCCTCGGTTATACAAGGCATAAGTCCGGGGAAGGAGACCTTGGTTGTAATTTTTCAACCGGTTTCAATTCGATCTGTCTTCACAGGCCGAGCTCAACCCCGCAAATGGTTTAAATATAAAGAAGCAAATTGCTTCAGAAACTTGAAGCTAACAATTTTATAGTGCTATAGTAAGAATTGAATTGAGCGGCAAGTAAGTTAACAATTCTTTTTATTATAAGTTAGATCAAGGAAATGTCAGAAATATCATTTAAAGATAAGGTTGTTGTCGTTACCGGAGCCGGAGGTGGTCTTGGTAGGGAATACTGTTTAGAATACGCTAAGAAGGGCGCCAAAGTTGTTGTCAACGATTTAGGCGGATCTCTTAAGGGAGACGGTGGTAACTCAAGCGCCGCAGACGATGTTGTTAACGAAATCAAGAAGGCCGGTGGAATTGCCGTTGCTGATTACAACAATGTGTTAGACGGGGCTAAAATTATTGAAACCGCCGTCAAGAACTTCGGTACTGTGCATATCATTGTCAACAACGCTGGTGTTTTAAGAGACGCTTCGCTCAAGAAGATGCAAGAAAAGGACTTCAAGTTTGTTGTTGACGTGCATCTTAATGGTGCCTACAAAGTGACACAAGCTGCATGGCCATATTTCAGAAAACAACAATACGGTAGAGTTATTAACACAGCTTCTCCAGCTGGTTTGTACGGTAACTTTGGACAAGCCAATTACTCCGCTGCTAAGTTAGGGTTAGCTTCGTTTGCTGAAACCTTGGCTAAGGAAGGTGAGAAATACAACATCAAGGCCAACACCATTGCGCCACTTGCTAGATCAAGAATGACTGAATCAATCTTACCTCCACCAGTTTTGGAACAATTATCGCCTGCTAAGGTTGCCCCATTGGTATTATACTTGTCCAGTGACGTCAATGAATTGAGCGGTCAAATCTTTGAAGTGGCTGCTGGATTTTACGGCCAAATCAGGTGGGAAAGATCTGGTGGTGTTCTTTTCAAGCCAGATGAAACATTCACTGCTGAAGCTGTTGCCAAGAGATTCAACGAAATTATGGATTTTGATGACTCAAAGAAGCCGGAATTGTTAAAGAACCAACATCCATTTATGTTGAACGATTACAAGTCATTGATAACTGCTGCAAAGAAATTACCAGCTAATGACTTATCTGGTGCTCCAAAGGTTTCCTTAAAGGGTAAGGTTGTTTTGATTACCGGTGCTGGTGCTGGTTTAGGTAGAGACTACGCCTTATGGTTCGCTAGGTACGGTGCTAAGGTCGTTGTTAACGACTTCAAAGATCCTTCTAAGGTTGTGGATGAAATTACCAAGAATGGTGGTGAAGCTCATGGTGATACGCATGATGTCGCTTCCGACTCGCAAGCTATCATTGATAACGTAATTAACAAGTACGGTACCATTGACATTTTAGTCAACAATGCCGGTGTGTTAAGAGACAAGTCTTTCGCCAAGATGAGTGATGCTGACTGGGAAATTGTCCAAAAGGTTCATTTATTTGGTACCTTTAACTTAATCAGGTTAGCATGGCCACACTTCATGGAAAAGAAGTCTGGTAGAGTTGTCAATATTACTTCTACATCAGGTATATACGGTAACTTCGGTCAAGCTAATTATTCCTCAGCTAAGGCTGCTATCATTGGTCTTTCTAGAACCCTTGCTATTGAAGGTGCTAAGAACAATATTAAGGTCAACGCTGTTGCTCCACATGCAGAAACTGCTATGACTTTAACTATCTTCAATGAGGATGACAAGAACTTGTATCACCCAGACCAGGTTGCTCCATTATTGGTCTATTTAGCCTCTGATGACGTTCCTGTAACAGGTGAATTATTCGAAGTCGGTGGTGGCTGGATAGGTAACACCAGATGGCAAAGAGCTAAGGGTGCTGTTTCAAAGGATGAGCACACTGCACCTGAATTCATTAGAGATAATATCAAGGATGTTATTGATTTCTCAGCTGGTACCATCAACCCAAAATCTGCTCAAGAATCATCTATGGCCATCTTTAGTGCTATTGGTGGTGACGAAGATGATGATGAAGATGAAGATGACGACAGTGATGATGAGGATGATATTAGTGAAAGAACTTACACTTACGGTGATAGAGAAGTTATCTTATACAACATTGGTATTGGTGCAAACTCTCATGAATTGAAATATGTTTATGAAAATGACAATGATTTCCAAGTTATCCCAACCTTTGGACATCTTGTTACTTTCTTATCGGGTAAGTCTACACACTCCTTCGCTAAGTTGTTAAAGAACTTCAACGCAATGTACTTGTTACATGGTGAACATTATCTTAAAGTCGAGAAATACCCAATTCCAACTGAAGCTTCAATGTTAACCGAGTTCAAGCCAATTGCTGTTACTCAAAAGGGTACTAATAGTATTGTCGTTCACGGTTCCAAGACTGTTGATGCAAAGACTGGAGAACTTCTTTTCACAAACGAAGCTACTTATTTCATCAGAAAATGTGAGGGTGAAACCAAGGTTTACGGTGACAGAAAATCATTTGCTACTAAGCCATTCAATGCTCCAAGTTCTCCTCCAGACTTTACTACTGAAGTTAAGATCAGTGAACATCAAGCAGCATTATACAGATTAAGTGGTGACAGAAATCCATTACATCTTGATCCAGAATTTGCTAAGGGTGCCAACTTTGACAAGCCAATTTTACACGGTATGTGTACCTATGGTATGTCTGCTAAGGTCTTAATGGATAAGTTTGGTCCGTTCGACGAAATTAAGGGTAGATTTACTGGTATTGTCTTCCCAGGTGAAACTCTTAAGGTTTTTGCCTGGAAACAAGGTGATATTGTTACCTTCCAAGTCCACGTTGTTGAAAGAAAGACTATTGCAATTAACAATGCCGCTATCAAGTTAATTAGTAACAAGGCTAAGATCTAAGCTAGTTCGCTTTCAGTCTATTTATCTTCCGTTTATAATTCTTGAATAAATTCGAATATATGTTTCATGATATTTATTATATTTAAACTAATTATACTTAGTAACAAAATGTGGTGATATTTGTATATATAATAGTGTATGCTAGTGCTAATTAAATGGGCTCTTTTGAATAAAATCTGATATCTTATTATTCAATTTGATGTCGGTGAGTGTTCTGTCATTATCCTCAATAATTTCTTCTTCTTCCTCTTCCACTTCATCAATATCTAAATCTAGAAACTTATGTATTCCTCCACCTGATGATAAAATCGAGCCTGATCTCCTTCTAGGATGAAAAGGTTTTTTAGCCGAACTAGGTACAGAAAAGTCAACAGGAGTATCATTGATTGGATCAATGATAGATAAGTGACTTTTCGATGAATCTATGGTTGAAATTGGTGTCGCGGTCGATAATGGAGAATTCATTATAGGAGATGAAGCTGCAGTTGGCACAGCACTAATATTAGCTAATGAATTGCTCAGATATTTCGTATTAGTATTAATTCGAGATAAATTACGTGATGCTTTATTTTTTGAATTAGATGAAAGTGGAAATTTGAAGGATGAGTTTGGTAAATTCTTCGAATTCTGATGTACAATAGTCGTATCGGATGTGGTAGATGCATTGCTACTGGAACTTGACACTATATTTCTTTGCTGTGCCGGTAATTGAGGAATTGGACCCGACGGTTTTCTGCTTATTGGATTTATTAAAGATGGTCTGTTCGCATTCAAATGATTGTAAGAACTATTATTTGCGTTCATCTTCAAATAGCTTGTTAAATTATGTCCCTTTGCTTCGAAAAACTCTGGCATTTCACCAACTGGTGATGAATACGAATCTGTTAAAGAGTCCGTGGATGAAAATGCTAAGTCAGAACAAATCGATGATGATGATGAATTAATTGAGATCGATGAAGATGAAAAGTTTGATGAATTTGAGAAAGATTTCTGATGACCACCCAGTTTAAATAAGGCCGGTGGGGGTTGAAAATCACTCTCTATTCCACGGTTGCTCATGATGTTAGGACTATTTGCTGGTGACGAATTGAATATGGATGGGGTATACGTAAATGTTGAAGCCCTTGTCAATCTATTATCCAGCAAATTTTGGGTACCTGGTATGGATATTTCATTGTCAGTATCATTATTTGTCAAATTAAACTTTGAAGTTGACCTCTGTCTTTTCAAAATTTTTAAATTTTGCGCATGGGATGTTATAGTCGTAAATGAATTTGATCTATTATGAGTATTTGAAAGAGGATTATTTCCCAAGAAATGATTATAAGATTTAGCCCTGGGTAACTTCTTGGCTTGTCTTACCTTTCCCATTTCTAATTCGCAAGTTTTTTGATGATTGACATCTTTCATTTCAACATAAGCTTGAGGATAGCAATGCGATTTGTACTTATCGTAAAATCCTTTATAGCCACCCTCTAGTACCACTATATCAGGGTAAGTTAATTTTGGATAATTATTACTATTCAAAATTCTATCACATTTTCTAAGATGTGATGCCATTGTTGGACTCCTAAAAATACTAAACTCACAATGAAAAATGTAGAGTCGTCTTTTCGAAGAATCATTAGTATTGTTCTTGATAAATTTCTCTTCCAAGCCTTGCTGAGAAGTGATATTAATTGCATTCATTATATGGCCGCCTTCATATTCGTAATTGAATCTGCAATCGATTACTACATATTCATCAAATTCTTCCTTATAGTCCCCATTCAAAATCCTGTATAGTTCATCTTCATTAATTCTTGGTAATAAGTCGTTATCTACCTTGAAGGTGTTAATCGTAGTTTTGGGTAAATGGGAATTATCTTCCATGTTGTAAGTCTCTTTCTCTTTAGTGGTTTGGCACATTGAATGAATCCTACGTATACTTCTATTTCTAGAAACCATCTGCGTAGGTGATCCACCAATGATATTCGGTTCATTATTCGTATCATCATCCAATTCATTTTGGAGTTTCTTCTCTACTTCATCTTCCCGAGAAATATTTTTTTCAAGTTCCTTGTTAGAATATTTGGCTACCAGAGTCATAGATCTAGTCAAGCTTTTCTTTGAAGAAGCCAATTTCTTCTTCATACTAGTGAATTCGAGATTGCTAACGAAATTACTCAAATTTCTGAATGGTTTCCTATTAACTAGTGGAGAAGTAAATTCATGACTGTCCTCATCTTTATCTTCATGTTCATCATTGATTTGAAGATGATTGATTCCATCACCCTTCAAACTAAAATAGTCTGACGCTTCGATAGGCTTTGTATTTGACGGTGAATCAAAATAGCTACTTAATGGTCGATCCCTTTTCGTGGTTGTACTTCTGGAATCCATAAGCCTTGCCTTTCTACTAACACTCGTATGATGATCCAAGCCCGCCAGATTATCGCTTATCATACCATCACTCCTGTCTTTCATAATGTTGATATAGGGAGATCAAAAGGATATATATTTCGTTTCAATTTCTCTCTAAAACAATATTGGTTAATCAAACAATAATTAGCATGCGTAACCCACCTTTGTGAAATCAATATTGCAACGAATATGTATCTCACTATATTTCGGCAACTGAATCAGGATACAATGTAAGTTTGTGCCACGTTTAATACCTTAACAATAGCGTATAAAGCAAAGAGCACCTGAATTCCTATTGCCGTTAATTGCTTGTAATCCTTAGTAAGATCTAACTCTAAAATTATCTTTTGCCTACTATTAAAGATTCAAATGAAAATATCTCAGGCTTCACAATGAACAATTATGCATTTATTAATTCTGTTTGACGCAATGCCTTACCTAAAGAGCTTCGAATCTCCTTCTTTTACTATAGCAATTAAAATAAATTCGCGTTCTGTGTTTATTTTTGTTTACAAACGTTTTCTATTAGGAAAGCTTTAACAATTTCATCACCAAATTGATTCGGCTTTATTCCTGATTTTTCTGTTCAAACAGGAAATGTTACCAAAAACGAACCAGTGGTTCTATTACATGTTCGCTTATACGTATAGACACGATAAATATGTGATTTTAAAAAATAATATTGCTTCTAATGAGGCCGTTGCATAATACATTGGGCTAATGGTCATCTACAATTAGGGCAAATAAATAGGATCTTGCGTCTCGTTGCTATGTACATTGTTAGATTCTATCTAGGAAATCAGACATACTTGAATAATGTTTCATATCAGATTGCTCATGATCTGGAAGGATTAATGTCTCATCCACATCTTCATCGGGATCATCATCGGTTACGCCTTGATGGCTATTATTAGAAGCTTTATTATTTCCCTTTGAGTTCTCTGTGATGGCAGGGTCTTTCATCGACGATAGGGAGTAAACATCATCGGTCAAATATGCATTTAAATTCAACGAGGAACTAGAGCTTGTAATTCTGCTTAGGCCACTTGACTTCACAGAGGAAATGGAGTTCTTACGGGAGCACGTAGATGAGGGGGACTGATTCATACTTGACGATGAACTTGTAGTACCAAAAATAGGCGGTGGTTCCATGAGATCGTTGTAGACCGTGGATTTTTTATCACTGTTCTTTGATTTTAGTGACGAAGTGTTTGATAACGAACTTATCGTATGAGTTTTCTTATTAGGACTAGCCAGTTCCTTGCTCTTACTCCTTGCAAAAAACCTCTTAGAGGGACTAAACATGGACTTGATGGATGAGGGAGAGTCGACGCCAATAGTAACAGCATTGGCATTAGGTGAGCTTGGAGATAGTGGTGACTGGAAGTGACTCGATGATGATGAAGCAGATCTCGATGCGTATGGCTGAGGCAGAGGCTGGCTTAACTGTAATGGCGATGGTGTGTTCTTATTAGTACGCTTATGACTCTTATTATCTTTTGATAAGAATTCTAAGTTCAATAGATTGTTCGGTTTATTTTCTATCGGTGGAGTACTTTCTTTAGTTTTCAATGACTCTAGTAAATTCGTTGTATCAATTTCAGTAGTTTCCTCATACGACCCTAACGAAGATGAATCATCAAAATACGAATCAAGCAAATCGTCCACTGGCTCAAGAGCATCAGCACTTGGTTCTGGTTTATCAGCCGGAAGCTTAGGCGATACTGGTGATTCCGGTTTGCTCACAAAAAGTCTCTTTATCTTTGTTGTTAAACTTCCATCCTGTCGTATTATTTGGCGATTAAAATCTTGAAATTTGTCTTGTTCATCAGGTGTTATATCAAATAACGTAAATCCATGATGTTTTACTTTTTCTAAAGTGATCCGCCTCGTAGGATCCTTCGTTAATAGTTTCTCTACCAAATCTTTTAATAAGCTTAATTCCTTAATATCATTTTTAGTAGTATGAGTTGTACTCTTGACTCGAGGAAACTTCAAATCTTTGTTAACAATATTCTTGAATAATCCAAACTCATTAAACCCATTAAACGGTAGATCATTGAAAATCAAGCAATATAATATTACACCTAGGGACCACAAGTCAATTCTTGAATCAATCTTATTCTTTGCTTTAAAACTATCGTTAATCATTGATAACCTATTATTGACAAACTGGCATAACTCAGGAGCAAAAAATGCTGGTGTTCCCATGCTTTTGCCTAATTCCTTATCATCATTGGCATTGTTCTCTAAAATTAAACTTACTCCAAAATCAGATATTTTAATCGTTTTATCAGCACTGATTAGTAAGTTAGATGGCTTTAAATCTCTATGTACAATCTTTTTATAGTCATGAAGATATTCTAATCCGTTCAAAACATCACGTAGAATCTTATTTATCGTGATTCCGTCTTTTTTATTGTACTTTTCATTATAATGGTTGTATTTTTTCCAATCTATTTCTCCAAACGGACAATACTCCAACACCAAAAGGATTTTGTCATATTTAAGGTCATCTATCACTTGATATAATTTCACGACATTAGGGTGGTTACATTCTTTCATAATCTGTATTTCTCTCTTTATTTTGGTTGTATGATTGAGGTACGTTTTGGTGATCAATCTCGTCTTATCAAGCCGGTTTATAGTCTTTATAGCAACGGTTGTGCATGATTTCTGAACATTATGCTTTCCTATATTCTCAGCTAGTAAAACTTTACCAAACTGACCTTGCCCAATCTTTTTTGTTATGCGGTATGTCTTGTTAATTACCTTCCTATTGGACTTAGGATCATTTTCTATAGATAGTGTTGATATATCCATTGAAATCCAGGGTCGATTTTTTATATTTCACAGGACTTGATTTATAACTTATTGAGCGTATTCATCGAATATTATGGTCAATTAAAATCTCGATAATTTAAATCGATTTCTATATGTTCTATATGTAAAAAGATTGATGTAAATATCTTCTAATCTAATTGGTATGTTAAGTAGGCTGAACTGCTGTATTTAGCGATTCACATTATCTAAAGGGCGCAGAATTTTGAATATTTCCGTCGATTAGTTCAACGGCCTTTAATCATTTACACTATGTAATAATTAATAAATAGCTAATAATACAGATATCTAATTAAACTAGACTATTATACAGGGTTAAATTTTTAAATTAGTTAACCATTTCCCTACTTCTGGCTTCATCCTTTATATTTTTCATGATTCTTGCATCCTTATCGTCGTTCATGGAATTCAATTCCTTTATTATGTCTTCTTCCTCTTCGGTAAGACCCGTTATGTCAGGAGGGATTTCTTGCATTTGAACTGATGGAGCATACGTTAGGTATCTCAATTGTTCTAAAACCTCTTGTTTCACGCTCTCCAAGTATTTCTTAGAGTTTTTATTATCTATCCTACCGTCTAATTGAGGATGCAAAGAGTAATCCGGTCCAAACCAATCATGCGTTGGTAAATAATTCGGAATGGTATGATCTAAGGTAACATCATTTAATACAGACGTCTCATAACACCATAATCTTGAAACATTTCTAGGAGTGTATCCACCACCACCTAAAACAAGCATAGGAATTCCAAAAGACTTTATGTATTTAACACATTCACCATGCGCCCTAATATTCAAATTAAAGCATCCCAATCGGTCATATCCCAAGGAATCAGCCCCACACTGTTGTACTATGCATGTTGGTTGAAATTTTGTTATCAATGGTTCCATAATCAGCTTAAATAACCTTATATATGAATCGTCATCTATTCCATCTTTTAAAGGAACATTCACGGCATAATTCTTCCCTTTTCCAAGCCCTGTTTCATCGACAGAACCAGTACCCGGGAAAAATTCTCCATTATATTTATGGAATGAAACTGTCATTACTCTGTCAGTCACATAGAATGCTTCTTGAACCCCGTCGCCATGATGCAAGTCAATATCAATGTACATTACTCTTGGATGCACTCGCAATAAATTAATAATACTCAACACAATATCATTTACATAACAAAATCCACTAGGCTCGAACTTCTTGGCGTGATGTAACCCTCCGGACCAGTTTATTGCTATATCTGACATCCCACTGATCAATTTCCTCAGCGCATCTAATGACGCTCCCGCGTATATCGATGAGTAATCGTATATCCCATCAAATACCGGGCAATCATCCCCTATATTAAACTGAGCTAGCTTTTGGTCGCTCATCTTTAATGTCTTCTCTGGCGTTATAGTCTGTAAAAAATCTATGTAATCCTCTGCATGAAATTCCAATAATTCCTCCTTCGTAGCTCGGCGGGGAGTATAGAGGTCCATCTGTTCATACAACTTATACGATATAACCAAATGGTCTGTAAGCATCAACCGGAATGGCTTCATCGGATGATGAGGTCCAAAATGATATTGGCTTACTTGTGGGTTGTAATGGTAGGAAACATTGGGAAGTTTAGATGTAGAATTTGCCAAATATAATGGGGTATTTTCCTGTGTTTTTTTGTCTTTCGTGAATGTCGGACTTTGATTTGCTGGTATAGACATACTGTACTATACAACAATCACGTTTACGATTCTAATAACTTATAATAACACAACCTTTAATGAATATGAAGCTGGTTCGTATGGTTAAAGAAAAACCTTTAATTATGTGCGACATTCAGTTAGAATTATGTCGTGAATAATGCGACATATATTTTGTCTATATTGCCACTCAAGACTACTTTGATATCAATTTATATCTATAAATCAAACTTGAACGTTGACTTTATAAGGAACTTCACGAATAAGTATATATCTTAAGAATATTCAATATGTCAGGTAAGTAAATCTTTTTGTTTTTATTCAAATTATGGCAGGAATCACGTACTAACAGTCATAATAGGTTCTGCAGGTTTTGATAGACATATTACAATCTTTTCGCCAGAAGGAAGATTATATCAAGTAGAATATGCATTCAAAGCAATCAATTCATCTAATATCACCTCTATTGGGGTAACGGGTAAGGATTCTGCGGTTCTTATCTCGCAAAAAAAGATCCCAGATAAGTTATTGGATCCAGAGACCGTGTCCTATATTTTCAAAATCACACCTTCGATTGGATTGGTTGCTACTGGTTCAATTGCAGATGCCAGAGCACAGGCATTGAGAGCACGTTCAGAAGCAGCGGAATTTCGCTACAAATATGGATATGAAATGCCCGTAGAAAGTTTGGCTAAAAGAATGGCGAACTTATCCCAATTATACACCCAGAGAGCTTACATGAGACCATTGGGTGTTGCATTGACATTCTGTCAAGTTGATTTTGAAGATGAGAATAGGGGGTCACAAATCTTCAAGTGTGATCCTGCTGGTTATTATACTGGTGTTAAGGCCGTTGCCACTGGACCAAAGCAACAAGAAGCGACAACTTATTTAGAAAAGAAATTCAAGAAGATAGAGCATGTAACAGGTGACTGGAAAGATACGGTTGAATTTGCTATTACTGCTTTGAGTTCAGTATTAGGTACTGATTTTAGAAAAAATGATATTGAAATTGGAGTTGCTACTGAAGAAGGTTTCCGCATTTTAAACCCAGAAGAAATAGATGAAAGGTTGGTCACTATTGCTGAACAAGATTAATCTTCATTTTAATTCATTAACCATGTAGTATTACTTGAATGCTTAATTAAATTTTGTTACGAATAGATATATTTGATGTTCATTTTTATTGTAGAAGTCTTCTTTATCTAGAAATAGGAATCAAAACTATAAAAATAAAAATAAGGGTACTGGCAATTACGTGCCATTTCTCCTTCAACTCTAGATATTTGTAGTAGTACTGAGTTGTATGATTACCAGACGTAAGGAATAAACATGTATGGACAAGCTTCCAAATATCTATCCCAATCTTCACCATACTTTTTCTCACACTTTCTCGTATCTCTAAGGGCTCTGTGAACTAAAACAATCAAGAAAAAGCAAGGGAAAAACCAAGGGAATGGTGAAGCAAAACCACAAATTAAACCCCAAGTAAGAGATTGAGTATAGTCTGCAGTGTAATGCATTTTACGTGCGTAAACGTACCAACCATCGGTAAGTAAGTAGGAGCCATTAGCACACTTGATGTAGCTAGGGTTTTCCAAATCGGAATAAGGCAAATATGGGAAAGTCTTACGAATTGAAGTGTTACCAGCCATTTGTCTTCTGAAACTGTTCTTTTGACGGTTACCAGTGTCAAAGAAGTAATATGCAACTAAAAGTATAACATAAATGACAACATTGTATCCGATTGACCATTGGTATTCTTTTGGATCGTGATAAGCCAAATACAAAGTACAATGGCAATAAGTGAATGGAACACCAGCAATGTTCCAGAAGAGCAACATAAATCCGAATTTTTCGTAAGCCATATCCCAGGTTGGAACGATCAATTCTTCACCCTTTGCACAGGCATTGGCGTATAACCAATGTGCCAATAAAACAAACAATGCTTGCGGAGAAACATAACCATATTCCTCAAATTGTTTTAAATTCAACGCTAAGGACAAGAAGAATAAGATGAACCAAGGAATTCTAACTTCGAAAAACATCTTAAAATCCAAATACTTACCAAGTCTTGGGTTTAAAGGAGCTCCCATGAAAATATCATAAATATGGTTGCCGGTCATACGATGGTAATCACCAGTAACATGAATGCACACCAAGTACAAGATAACTGGTAAAGTCAAACCGTAAACAATGGCAGTAGTCATTATCTCACCGAAATGACTCAAAATGTAGGTCAATCTGAAAAGTCCGGTGAAGTGCAACACAAGTGCAATTGCAAGAGATGCGTAGAATGACCAGACGGCATTACAGTAATATGGCAATTGCTTATTATTTAAATGAGTCAATGGTTGGCCTTTGGTCCAGATACCTGGCAAGGTTAAATAAAACCCAGCTTGGACCAAAATAAACAAGGTAAAAATAAACCACGACTTGAACGATGGTATTCCGTATTTAACAAAATACTGGAACAAATCTCCAGCAACAAACTCTTTCCACGTTTGATTTTCCGCTGGCCATGCTGGTTTACCATCGTAAAATTGTGCACTAATCCACATATAATACATTAAAAGTGGAAACCCTACCATCATACCAAGTGCACCAGCTGGTCCACCGAATTCCCATTCAATTTCTTCTTTTGGGAGATAGCCTGGTTTGACCTCTCTTCTTTCTTCTACCAATGGGGTAGTTATATCTTCATCACTTGACATAGTTGGTAACAAAATATTTATTATCAATTACTAAAGATATTACGAAATCAATTTAATAGATGATTGACTTTTCTTCTTTGCTAAACCAGATCAAAACAATGGGATGGAAATACTGAAAAATTAAAAATGCTAAGCGAGCAACCAAAAAGCCGATTACAATAAACGAAAAAACGATCGTATAGGCTCTAAGATCTGGAAAATATCCTTATACGACGGATTATTTATTCTAGAATGTTTTTCTTCTTGTCGTATGTATTAAATATCATGATCATATAATTGAATGGTAATTTTACATATCAACTTAGGTGAACATAATCATCTTGTAGGTCCTTCACTATTTCGTAGTAATTCTTTAACTTACATTAACCTAGAATTGTCACTATTTTAGCCAAATCGATTCATTACATCTGCAATTTAGGTAAATATTTATAATATTAATAATATGAGCTTTATATACAAATATAATATAAACAAAATATGAAGATTAAAATAAAGTTAATATACAAACTAAAATACAATTTGTTCTCTTCTATTTCATTGAGTGTTTTACATATCATCTATAAGATGTTTTGAATTTTAATCATAATTCTTCTTCCATGTGGAGTATTTTTAATATTTGGTAATAAGGGTTGTAATGCCTGAGATAACTTGCCCAAGTCTCTAACATTAGCAACATCTAAACTTGTTTGAAGAACATAGTTACCGAATGCATCATTTAACATTTCACTGAACCTTTCCTTGTTTAATAATAAAACTTCAATCAAACTGTCAGTCAATTTATTAATTCTTAAAGACTTTTCAATAACATTAGAACCAAATTTGTGCAACGATAATGAAACAACATTTGACTTAATATGGTCTAAGATTATTCTAATTGATTCATCGTCACCTCTAGATAATACATATTGTACAACATAATTACCAAATGGATCTAACGATAAATTCGTAGCATTCTCTGCAACCTTCAATGATAATTGTTTACGTTGGGCAAGATCACCATGATCCAAACACCTTTGTAAAACACAACAACCATGTCTATGAGTTGCAATTTCATTGCAATGTAACGAAGCAGTTTCGAAAATGAATTGATTCTCTTCAGGTTTCAATCTCTGCAAGCATTTTTGAACAACATGATTACCATTCAAATCCCTCGAAAGTGCTACAATACGTGGGGACAAAGAACTTATAATCAATTGCGATTCCTCTTCAGTTGTGATACATTCAATCAACTTCTGCAATGCACGGGTACCGTGTGGGTCTAAAGCGATTCTAATGAATTCTGGGGAAGCGTTCTTGACTAAAATAATTCTCTGATCAGCAGATACATTTTCAAACAATTTTTGAATAAGATAGTTTCCAAATGGATCAGTCATTAGCTCAATGATCTTCAAGTAAATTTCGTTAAAGATCATGGTTGCGGCAATGTCATTTGTTAATATCTGTGTGTTCTCTAAGTCGGCATTTGGATTCGATGCAGCTTCACGGCCCAAATCTAACTGGCGTTGCAAGAAACGACAACCATGTTGATCCTTACATAACGAGTATATTTGTCCTGTGAAATCTTCTAATTTGGCATTTGTATACTTTGATGCATCATCACCCTTTCTTTTGTTATTTATATGCATTTTACGATGAACATTCATACCATCATTTGAATTATAATGATTACGACGATTGTTATTGTTATGATTACCATTATTGTTAAAACGACCACCATTCACGCTTTGACCTGAGAGAGCCTGATTTTGCGGGACTCTATTGTTCACAAATGAATGTTGTTGCAGGTTCATATTCGAATTATAATTCATCGGAATTTGATTCCACATGTTCGGTGTGCTTGGTTGAGCTGATGGTGGAACCATTTGACCAACATTCAACATAGGGAAGTTCAAATTCTCGGGCAAATTATTAAACTGATTGTGGTTATGAGAAGCTTCATTCCCTACAATCAGTTGGTACTCGTTAACCGCAGTAGCTTGTGCACCGTCCATACGAATGGATCCAGACATGAAATGTTGCTGGTTTGAAGAGTTCTTGGTCCTATCAGATGGAATTGAACTTTCAACTTCACTTTCGGACGAACTTCCCTCGGCCAATTTATAACCCTCTTGGAATCCATAAGATTCCATACCGATAGGTACATTAGCTCCGAAAGGGATTTGGGAATTCAAAACTCCTCCAAACGTATCTAATGGAGGTGGAGTCGTGGTAAATGGAAGGTGTAAACCCGGAATTACGTTTTCTCCGTTGACCCTTTTATCCTTCGCTTTCCCATCATCTGGTAACTCAAATGGTTTAACATTCAATGCATTAGCGCTAGCCGCATTACTGTTTCCATATGCAAATGGAGGAGCAGATGACGGAATAAATGTGTTGCTCCATGTACTAGAAGGTGTGTTAACATGACCAAATGTCGAAGGAACAAAGGTTCCAATTGACGAGTTTGGAGTCAAAGAACCTTGTTGTGCTGGATATTGGGAATAAAATTGTTGGTGATAATTGTTATTCCCATCGTTAGTGTTACTATTGCCAGCATATAAGAATTGAGCATGTTGCAGGAATGGGGTATTGGACGTCGGGGTGTCTCTTTGCTTAGCAGCATTGTTGGAAGATGGTGTACCCTTCTTCTCTTTAGCACTGGCGGTATCTTTGTTTGTCAATTCAAACTCTTCATCTAAGTCAAGGGTGCCCAACGCATCAACAATATCCAAACCGCTCGATGTTGGCGGGTTTGGGGGGTTTTCATTGGTCTCCTTGACAAGCTCGTCGTCCATTGAGCTGGAAGTTGTGTTGGCTGCATCCTTGGGATTAAAAAAATTCGAAGCATCCTTATTGAAAAAGCTTGACCCAATCGATGCCGATCTTAAATTGTTCCCAACATTCTTTGTGGCACCCGTTTTACCAGGTAAAAACGAGCTTGGCTCTTCAGCATCACCCAGATTTGAAACTGATGCCGAACGGGATTGTAAATTGGTAGTCATTAATAAATTAGTTTATGATATAAATGGAAATATAATGCAAGTTGAAAAACTCTAGAATACAAGGTTGGTCTTTTTTTAAATTTTCTTCTTTTAAATATGGATTTAACTAGTTCACGATAATATTGTTAAGTTACGGAACCGGATGCACTTTAAATAAGTCTAGGTCCCTTCTTATTCCTGAAAATATTTCAATATCTTCTTAATGAAGTCACACTAGGTCAAAATGATCTCTAATCAACGTATTATGCCAAGTATAAGACAAGCCGAAAAGTATGCAAAACTGTGAAAGGGTATTACTTCTCTCCTTGACTTCAGTTATGAAAATGAACCTCAAAATATACTTAAAAAATTAAAAGAGGATTTGTTAATTTCTTCAACACCTAATTTGATCTGGGTACTAACTGACTTTTTGTGGTTAAATTTTTTGTTGAAAATTTGTAAAAATGCCGAGCGCTCGTAACCGATACGATCCACCACTTACTTCGAATTAAATTAATTGACGTGTTCGACGTTAGTTGGCAAACAAATCTACGATCTACGTTGTATACAACAGATAAGATGTACATATCGATTATGAATATGATTAATGTAGGTATTTATTAAGTGCAAAATTGTAATTCCACTCGGAGACATGGAATTCTAAAACCTCACTCTTACCAGAATATAATTTTTCAATGCTAAAGGCAAGTCTACAAATGAGTTTTTTTTAAATATTATTATCTATTATTTAACTATAATACGAAAAAATTAAAATTAACTTAAAAATATGACGGGAATAAGGGAATCAAAATAAAAAATGTTCGGGAAAAAAAGCGAGTATAAAAATAATCTAGTCAGAACTAACGAATGAGAAATTAACATGGAGTGCAATTTGCATTCAAACAGTAAGACACGGGAATGAATTACCACCGAATAACAAAAAGGGGAACACAGCAGTTAATAAATCTAAGTAGACTTTTCGTGTTGAGTAGAGACTCTTTGCATGGACATTAAGAAATCTTCGACAGATCTATTGTCCTTCTGTGGTTTGGCTGGTCTACCGTTACAGATGTTGTCGAATGCTGCGGAGCCGGACATTAAGTAGTATAAACCACCCATGATACAGAAGACACCGAAGGAGAAAATCCAGGTTCTGACAACAGTAACAATATCAGTCCAGTTTTGAGACCACCATCCGAATAAGGTGAAACAGGTGGCGATGATATCCACAATAAGGATAGCACCACCTAATTGCCAGGATGGGATAGATGACCAGAATGGACCTTGAGCTCTGGTAATAAAAATTAACCAGTTTTCAGTCAAGGAAATTTGCAAGAATAAAATACCGTCAAGACCACCGAAGTTTTGGACAATACCACCCTTCTTCATGAACATGGTGGTTAAAGTAATCCAAGTACCGATAGCTAAGATAATACCTAAGACAATAGACATACCCCATAATCTTGGAGTATTCCACTTAACTGGCATTGGATCGTATGGAGCATTATCATAAGCAATGGCTAAAGTAGCAACATCAGCGAAAAGAGCAATAAAGACAACTAAATCAATAGATAAAGATTGGTTCAAGATAACAATCCATAAACCTAAGAAAATTTCCAAGTGTAAAGATAAAGCAATACGGTAGACAACATAAGCGTACATTCTGTGGAAAATTTGTCTGGAAGTCTTTAAAGCATCAATAATAGCAGATAAACCTGGGGCTAAGAAAACAATATCAGCAGCGGATCTGGCAGCATCAGTAGCACCTTCGACGGCAATACCAGTATCAGCCTTCTTCAAAGATGGGGCATCGTTAACACCATCACCAGTCATGGCAACTAAGTAACCTCTTGATTGTAAAATTTCAACGGCATTGTACTTGTGTTGTGGAAAAACTTCAGCGAAACCATCAGCATTTTCAACGAAATCAGCAATTTCAGAACCGGCCATGTCACCACCACCGGATAAACCTAATCTGTCAGCATCATAAATGTTAGTACCTAAACCTAATTGACGACAAGTTTCCTTAGCAATACCAACGGCATCACCAGTTAACATCTTGACTCTTAAACCTAATCTTCTAGCTTCGTTAATAGTTTGAGCAGTGTCATCTCTTGGAGGATCCATAACTGGCATAATACCTAAGATTTCCCAGTGACCTTCACCTCTCTTTCTAGCAACACCTAAAGATCTGAAACCTCTAGAAGCAAATTCAGTAACAGTGTTTTGATAGTTTTCGTGGACATCTTCTGGAATTGGGTGATCATCTTCAACAGTTTTTAAAACGAATAATGGAGAACCCTTAACACAGATAATTCTTTCACCTTCTGGTGATTCGACAATAGAGGTAACCTTCTTTGAGACAGGATCGAAAGGTTGGAATTCAATAAGCTTGTACTTGGTTAAAGCAGCCTTGGCTCTTGGATAGTCAATCAAAGACTTTAAGAAAGCCTTATCAATAGCATCTAAACCCTTCTTCTTTCTGGAAGCAGCTAAACAACCAGTCAACATTAAGTCATCAGCTTCAACACCTTCAACAGTGTATGGTTCGTGCAAAGATAATTTGTTCTTGGTTAAAGTACCGGTCTTATCAGAACATAAGATTTCGACACCGGCTAAGGATTCAATAGCAGACAATTTTTGAACAATAGCTTGCTTCTTAGCTAAGTAAGCAGCACCGACAGCCATGGTAGTGGTAACAACAGCTGGTAAACCAACTGGGACACCGACAATAAGAATGGCTAAAGTGTATCTTAAAATTGGAACAATTCTAACAGTACGGTAGAAACAAGCAACCCAGATAGGTAACAAGGTAACAATGACTAAAACCAATAATAAGGTACCAATGGAGTTCAAGACTTCAGTGAAGTGACCAGCATTACCACCGGCCTTGTTGACTAAAGCAGCAGCTCTACCAGTGAAGGTAGAATCAGCGGTAGCAGTAACAATCATGAAAGCTTCACCAGTCTTAACAGTAGAGGAAGAGTAAGTGGCATCACCAAATCTCTTTTCAACAGCTAAAGATTCACCAGTAATAGCAGATTGATCGATTTGTAAGTGACAATCTTCAGAAACAACTCTACCATCAGCTGGAATAACGGTACCGTCTTCCAATTGTAAAATATCACCTGGAACAATTTCACTTGCAGCAACTTCGATTAAAGAACCGTCACGGATGACGAAAGCAAAGTTAGCTAAAGTCTTCTTCAATTCATCGACAATAGAACCTGCTTGGTATTCTTGCACGAAACCAACGAAAGCGTTCAATAATAACAAAGCACAGATAACACCGAAATCAATCCAATCTTCTAAACCAGCGGCTAAAATGGCAGCAGCTTCCATAACGAATTGAATTGGACCAACGAAGAACATAATGAACTTCAAAACTAAGTTTTCTTTGTCTTCAGACATTTGGTTCAAACCATACTTCTTTCTTCTCTTGGTGACTTCATCCGCGGTCAAACCGGTAGCTGGGTCGGTTTTCAATAATTCTTCAGGAACAGCCTTGAAAGAACTATTATCTTCTTCTTCTTCTTCTTCTTCATCAAGACCATGGTGAGATTGCAAGTCCATGATCAATTGATCAATATCTTCATCTTCATCGTCAGACACATTCTTGTCGACCTTTTCGTTAGTTGGTTCAGTACCACTCATATTCGTTTTTATCTAATTAATAATTTTATTTAAACCAAAACAAAGCTAAAAACACAATTAAATTACTTAATTTGAGATAGCGTAAATAAAATAATAAAAACGTAGAAAAGTATAACCTAATAGACTCAAAAAAAAGGAAAAGAGGATTGTAATTATACCACCATGAGGATTTTGCTACTTATTTATATACGGCTGGATTGGGCTTTCGTCCACTTCTGGTTTAGACGCATAGATAGTGCGAAAAAAATTTTTTGAGGGAATTTTTAATCAGAAACCAAAACACTAACAAATGGAGAAACGTGTGTGAACCGTAAAAAAGTTTTATTTCTTTTGAATTGACCTGGATAATGTTTACGAACTGCCAAATAGAAGAAAATGCCGGTGTGGACCGTTACGAGCCCCGCGTGTGTTGCCGATGATATTGTCCGGATAGGCCAGGGAGGCTGCCGGATTGGACCAAATGAAAACATTGGCTGCAGTCCGCTTATAATGCACTGTGCACTAAAAGAGTTATAGCTGGATTAGGGTTACAGATTAGGGTATAGGCCCCTGGCCTAGTGGGATACCCGGAGGGACCGATTGTTCCGGCAATGGGTGCTGGTAGCGGTGAAAGTGGTGAAAATGGTGAAATGGTGGAAAGAACGGGTGCTTCAGAGGGCTGGTATGCGCTGAGTTGACAGAGAGTGCGTCGGTAGTGGTAAGCTGTTGTAATGAGCACGGTCACTAGTAGAGCCTGGTGGAAACAGGAATACAAGACCAAATGGCCGGCTAACGGCTAGTGTTTAGACTACACGGAGAGAACGGGTGGGTGTGGGTGGATTCCTGTTCCAATCAAGCTTTAACTACGTAGATCCACAGAGGAATGTGGGCGGACGATGTAGTAATAGAACTAAGACTACGCTAGAGCGGTGACGAGTAAAGTATGCAAAACGGAGTGTGAGCGAGCGATATGATAGAGCCGCAGATGTAGGTACTTATGCGCTAAGCGAGGGTGCGGTAATGGCGGCATTTTGCTGGTGGAGCGATGGCCTGGAAGTCGGGTAAGGGTCGGTTAGCTACCAGAGATTCCATCCCCATGGGCTGCCATTGGTCGGTGCGTCATTTGGACGCACCCACTACTTTTCTATTATCTGTCAAAAATTGCATCGGCGCTCAATTCGTCCGTGTGAGGGTAGAGGAGAGTATAATGCCCCACCGATTGGACGATTATGCTGCAGGTGTGGATTCACGGCGGAAATTAGATGGTAATAGCGGTAATAAACAAATAAACACATACTCTGGCAGGATAAGAGATGGACGGTATAGGGCAAATTAGAAGGTTTATGACGTAGAGGAGTTGGAGATGTTTGAGACGTTATTGGAGATAG